CACAACTGAATCTAAATCATTATAAAAAGGACAGAACAGAGCATGTTTGAAATTCTGAATGGGTGAAGGGTAAAATTTGTTCTAATGCTGGTGAACTGAATATTCAACGTTACTGCATAGTTCGTGAGAAATTTCAGATTCTGACACATTCTTTTCTGTTATACAAGATATGTATTGCAAATGGCATCAGGGAAAAGTAAGAATATGGAAGCAGAGTATCCTTAACATGATAGGCAAGTTTCTTCCACGGTGGAGAAAATCAACTGGAAGACCTCGACTCCACTTATTTCATATTAACATTACTATACTTATAGTTTATCACATATATTGCCACTACATAAGTAATCAATTTAAATACTTTCATTATATGTCTGGACAAAAAAAAAGTAAAATCAAATAGTATATAAATTAGGGCACGTTTAAAACACTGAAATATTCCTAAAATGTAATATTTAAAGCTAAAACTTTTTTTTTTTTTTTTTTTTTTTTTTTTTTTTTTTTTTTAATTACAGTATGTACGTAGTCCATTGACTGTGAAACTATTATCAAGAAGCCTGATTCATCACCAGTTATGGATAAGTGCATCCTAACAACACAATCATAACATCCGTGCTTTCGTTTTGTATAGCCCTGATTATTATCGATAAGCCAGTTTTCTTTTCATAAACAAGACTATAAATTAACTGTTACTGTGTTTTCCCCCTTCAATTTTGAAAAAAAAATAATTAAATTGTGGGACCTGCCTTCTACAGCACAAGCAGAGAATTTAAAATTTATGGAGTTATACTATCAAAACCAGAGCGTACAGTTTTTACAAACAGTGCGTACAGTCCAAGATACGGATGTCTATTATCCGGAATGATTCAAAATCTGGACCTCAAAGCCACCCCCCAACATTTTGTGAATGTGTGTGCTTTATGCATGAGCATTTGATTCCCCCTTGCCCACATAATAAAACAGGTGGATAGTCCTGATTCTTAGTTTCACTTCAACACTAAATAAAATACTTCATTATTAAAGAAACACTCATTTTAGCATAAATTTGTATATCAATAATTTGGCTTCGTAGCTGCATATTTGCTTGGCATACACATATACACATCTCAAACTGAAACATTCTACATAGGTATATCATTGATTTTACGCCTACTAATATTTTATATCCACGACAACAACCTGGCAAATAATTATTTATTATATTTTGCTTTTATCACCGCATGTTTATCAACACATGACAACTTGAACAATGACTCATATAGCGAGGCCTAAACATATTTTTTATGTTAGTAATTGAATAACAAAGAGTATGGTAACCTTTTATGTTGACATTATGCTTGGCGGTGATTACAGATTTTAATTAAAGGCACTAAGAAATGCTGACAGGAAAAATAACATAAATTTGTATATCAAAATTTAACAAAAATTTCTTTCCATATGCTAAAAATAGATTTTTGTTAATGATACTCATAGGCCAAAAGATTACATTTAATGCTATTTTAAATAAGAATAACTAATTTGTTGTTCAAACTCTGAACCAGCGCCAGAGCTCGTATGATCGCACCGAGCGGCAGAATTTAAGGAAGACAAAGGAAGACGCTTGGTAGCAGAATTTAGGGCCCGCAGAGAATACATCAAGCGGTTAAGATTTCTAGCACTGGCCCTCAATAAGCCTTAAGTATATGTGGGAATTTATTTATTCAGGACTCAGATAAGCCTTAAGCTTGTGCAAAGAATAGGCGTAAGTAATAAATAACTAAACTAATACAATTTCAAGCTTAATTGTCTTAGTGTGCGATAGAAGCAAGATAAAATTTAGCAGAACAACTTGTCTTTAGTCGCCAATCTGATGATACATAGCCAAATATGGAAGTTTGTACTTGCAGCATTCTAAACAGAGCTTTGGATAAAATTCAAGGGCCTAACAAAATAGTAGTAGAAATTGACAAAATCCTTTTTATGAAGCACTAAAATGAAGCAGGTCAAATACTGATTGTAATTAAATAAATAGGCATCCATTACTTCTGCAGGAATGAGAATTCTGCAGGAATGAGTGGCACAACTTTTATGGTTGATAGGATAATTCACAAGTACTAAAATTCCTAAAAGAAAATTCAATAAAAACTCGCATCTATGAATGAATGAGAATTTTACCACATTTTTCACTGGACTTTTAAAGAAAATTAATTATTTTACATGTTATTGATGAAATAATAAAGAATTCAATTTAAAATAAACTATTATTAATAAATTTAATCCCTGAAGCAGCCCACAAGTGCATCAATGTTTATTCTAGTTTTCTGTAGGGTCTTGGAAGAAACGCAATCCTATGTGGAACATGAGCCAATGAAGCCTCTGCCAATATCTATCGCAGCTATTAATTTGCTGTTATTCTGAAGTTAACCTCTGCGACTGTGTTCATTGTTAATGAAATATAAGGTTGCCATGTCCTACATACCATTCTCAGGTCCACCTCAAAATTACATTTATAACTTCTGTTATACGAAATTAACTGATATTTGTGTACTCAACCTAATTTGTAATCATAGAGTTATCTGAATTGGTTGCCGAGTTACTGCTCCCTTATATTTATTTAACTGTCGGCACAAATACAAGTCAGGTAAAAATCAAATATTTATTTAACTATTTCTGATGGTTTACAAACTAAAATATTGACATGAATAAAATGAATGCTTATCATTACACAAAATTATTAGATGGAAAATTTGGCCTGATCATTAAAAGTGCCTATTTTTAAAGCAAGACTCTAATTCAAAAGACTGTATTCAATTAATATATGGTTGATTATAATTAGTACTATTAAAATCTGTGTGTGCCAGTCTGTTTGTAATATCTCCTCTGGAACAGCAGAGAGTTGAGTTTCAAGAGAGGTATCCCCTCCCCCTCCAGATTCCAAACATTTGTAGGAAGCCATTTCAACCATTCTCATCTTCATATGAGATTAGTCAGCTGAGGTATTAGTTAAAAACTCCAAAACCATTAATTTTCGCACCCTGCATGTTGCTCTTTTTGCTGAGCTTCATTGCTATTAGGCGTGCTGCATCAAGGCGCATATGGAGTAGTTTTAAAATTGCCATCCATCTTTTCAAAACAGAACTCAAGTAAAATTTTTTAAGGAATAGAACTTATAAATTTTGCTTTGGTCACAGCTCACTTATCTCACTGACTTGCCTGCTAGTTATCACTAAATTAGAAAAAAAAAAACTAACAATGGTACATGATTCACTAGCTTTGGGTCTCATTCAAACAAAGCAGGAAATAAGGATGAGTCAGACACAGCAGTCATGTGATGCAAGCTTCAATAGTCTTCCAGTCAAGATTAACCTCTTATTTTTAAACCATGACACTTCTATAATTAAGACACAATAACACGCCAAACAAATACTAATTCATAAGTCAAACAAAAATCAGCGTTATATTTTCAAATTTTCACAGGACTAGTTTGGATGGTTTTACCGAGCCACCATCGTCAGCAGCAAAAGCGCAAATGAACGAGATAGGATATAATGATCAGATAAGATAAGAAAGCCTGGACAGAAAATGCGCCAACTGTTGATGAAACCAGAACTAAAACATAATTTCTTTAAAGGCCGAAGGCAAAGATGCATCTGGTTTCATCAACAGATGGCGCCACTAGCTTATTTTCTGTCTAGGCTTTCTTATCTTATCTGATCATTATATCCTATCTCGTTCATTTGCGCTTTTGCAGCTGACGATGGTGGTTCGGTAAAACCATCAAAACTAGTCCTGTGAAAATTTGAAAATATAATGCTGATTTTTGTTGTTTGACTTCTGTTAAATTTGCATAACTTCCCAGTTTGAGAAAATGCTGTAACAAATGCCAAGAAGGATTTAGTTAATAAAACGTAAAATAATAATTACCACAATTAACAAACATGCTGCGTGTAAATAACATATGCCTCTAAATTAAAAAAACTATCAGGAATAGGATCATGATTCAGGATAATGGCAGGACAGGTCACTTATATTTCGCTATTACTTATATTCAATGCATCATACCAATAAAATGATTCACATACTTCGGCCTGCCGAGTGGTAAAATCACTGAACACTGGTAGTTCGGTCCGAGTTTCGAATCTTGCGAACGGGCTGGCTGCATGGGTGTTTTCGTGGTTTTCCCCATGTGTAACATGTATACAAGCCAGTTTCCCTTAGAAAGTCCTCCACGAAGGCATCCCTCCTCTTAGGCAGATAGCCCTCGAGGCTTTGCCATAATCACACACACACAAGATTCACATTATTCATTCATATTTTAGAGTTTCAGTTACAGCAGCAACAATTACACAGACAACAACCATACACATCACTTTAGTGATTCCATTAGTACCAAAATTTCTACTCAACTATATTTCACTTTACAAAATGAGCTCGCAGCAGAATGGAATTGATTGATATATATAAAAAACAAGAAACATATCTAAAAAAAATTATATAAAAAATTACTAACTAACACAAAGGCAAGCATTAACTCCTTACAGACTGATTTTGTTAAAAAATCATCTTCATGAAAATCCATATATAAGAACAAAATTATCAGAATCAGGAGCTAAAATAATGTAATATATACATCAGCCTAATGAGCACTCAAGATCCATAACAGGCTTTATAAAAAAAGTTAGCTAGAAATTCAGCAGTCAACTAATTATCACAAATATTAACCTTTAAAGCCTTTAAAAAGAATTAAATTTCGTCAAGTATTAAAATATTAAATTCCATAACTAGCAAGTTCATATTTTTAACTTTATAAAAGTATTCCTCCTATTCTTCCTGTCCTGGTAAGTAGTACTTAACAATTTAAGCAAAAACTATAAAATGTTAAACTTACCACATGAATTGGGAAAAAAAAAAAAAAAGAAAAAGAAATTACAAAACATAATAATAGAGATAAAACTTTCAAAGCTTTATGCAAAGTTATACAAATATATCTACAAATAAATTTTAAAATAATATGGTAATGTTACCTTTTACAAGACGTAGAATCTCTACATGATTAAATATGCAGTTTAATTACTTCTAAACAAAAACTGAAATCGGATAATCAGAATCTGAAGAGAAGGCTTTGTAAAATAAGCTCATTATAGCAACCCTGAATTTATTAGTTGGAGAGACTGAATCCATTAATGGACAATGAGAACTGTACGTCTATAAAAATAAAAATATCCACAGAATTAGAAGACAAAAAGCACATTAAAATATCATATATTTTAACTAAAAGATTATAGTCGTCAAATTTTATATATGATTGGCAAGACTATTTAATTTAAATTAAATAATTCATTCATGTTCATAGTTTTTAATAAATAGCAATTCTAAAAACCTGTCACACTCATAGCTTTTATAGCGAGAAAATTCAGGTATGTATTAGCATTTGCAATTATAAATGCTATGAAGATGTGTCTAATCACATCAACATAACAGTAAGTTATACTATAAAAATTATGCAAATCGATATGAGGAACTAACAGTGAAAATTATATGGACTAGGTGATGGATGTAAAAACAGGGCCGTTCAAAAATGTTGGCAGCCATATCCATTTCAATATAATTTCATTTTACAGTCAAAAGTCTTTAATCTGGACGTCCATAATCCGGACCTCAAAGCTACAAACTTTATGCGCATGTGTAAACGCAAAATGCATTTACGCATGCGCATAATACCTTTACGCATGCGCGTTTAATGTATAACGGACGGTATAAGCTAAGCTAAAATTATCCAATTAGCTATTTCAGTTAATGTTGCAGATTGCATTGTTCCTTAATCTTCTACTTGGATTCGGCTTATTATTTTTTCCAGACTGTTAGAGCAATTTTATAAAAGTAAGCTTAAAGTTTTGATTATGTCAAATAGAATTTCCGATTCTGCAGCTGCCAAAGGATCTACAAAGCGAAAGCAGTTTCGGTCCATCAAACAAAACGGGAATGGCTGCAAAATGGATAAAGGCATATCCTTTGTTTCTCTAACCATTTTGAAATCTGTTTTATCAATTTCACCTGCTCTGTGGGAGGGGAAGGACGTCGCAGCATGCAATGAACTGGAAGTTGATCTGTCAGCACTACCTTATCTTCAGAGCAGATGTTTTATTTTAATCAGCTTATAATTCCTACTAATGTAGTTTTCATCTCGATGTACTCCCTCTTGGATATGATTTAAATCAAATCCCTCGTCATTATAAATATCACAAATACACATCAAATAGTTTTCTGGGTTGCAATTTCCTTTCCTATTTCGACCGTAATGTATGCTTTACACTGCGCGCATTGAAAGAATGTTTAATAAAGTAAACAATAAATATAAAGCTTTTTTGTAAATTTGATACCCTTTAGATCATATATGCTCTTTAGGTGATCTTTACATTATGGTAACTTGGCGTTTTTTGGCGACCAACTCTCCTACAGCAACCCTCTATTTTTTTTCCCGCCGCCCATCACGAAGTAAAGACATGTTCGTCTTTTTATCTACTGAACACTTCTTCCAACAATCTACTAGCCGAATTACACTTATCCTAGAAATTTTATCTAACAAAACTGCTAATCATGACAAATATCACTGCAAAATTGGGGAAAAAGTGCACAATACCATACTCCTTACGCGTTTTTCAAAATAACACTACATAAACCACATACACGCCGCTTATTTTTACTAAAAAAACATCCCAGAATTGCCCAAAAATGGCATGCGCACACGCTTCACTATATCCAGGTACACTGCTTTTTTCTCAGAAATTAGAAAATTTCACGAAAATACATGACAATTTTCTGAATCTTTAAACCGGTAAAAAAACATATATGAAATTACCTGATCGCGAAAAAGTATTTACCCTTTCCAATATGAACATTTCCACATATAAAAAATAAAATATCCAAAAACTTTTACCTCTAAATCATCTATTACTTTAACGTCACCAACGAATTCATACCGCAAAGCATTACAAATACTTAGTATCAAATATTTAATTATTTCCATGCACGTTTACTTCAAATTCCTACAACATAAAATTCACAAAATAACTATCATTTAATTAAAATATAATTAAATTCAAAAACACTACTTAAAATATAAATGAGCACATACATTAAATTAATACAATCAAAAGTCGTTAATTCGGACACCCATAATCCGGAATGATCTATAATCCAGACCTCAAAGCTAAAATCTTTCTGCGCATGTGCCGCATTGACGCATGAGCATAGGCGTTTTACTCGTGCGTCCAAGACATTTACGACTGCGCATGTGCGTCTGCGCAAATGCAGAATACGTTTTCGCGTGCGCGTTTAATGTATAACGGACGGTATAAGCTAAAATTATCTAATTATCTATTTCAGTTAATGTTGATGATTGCGTTGTTCCTTAATCTTCGAATTGGATCCGGCTTATTATTTTTGCAGATTGTTAGAGCAATTTCATAAAAGTAATTGGAACTTTCGATTATGTCAAATAGAATTTCCGATGCTGGAGCTCCCAAAGGTTCTAGAAAACGAAAGTATGTTTCGATGTCCATCAAACAAAAAACGAATTTCTACAAAAAATGGATAAAGGGATATTCTTTGTTTATCTAACCGTTCCGAAATCTGTTCATCAATTTCACGCAGCTCTGCGCGAGGGGGGGGGGACCTCGCGGTGCGCAATGAACTGGAAGTTGATCTGTCAACACTATCGTTATCTTCAGGGCAGATGTTTTTATTTTATTCGGCTTATAATTCCTTACTAAATGTAGTATTTAATTTCGATGTACTTCGTCTTTGATATGATTTAAATCAATTTCTCGTCGTTATAATATCGAATACAATCAATAGTTTTCTGGTTGCAATTTTCTAATTTCGGCTATGCGTAAGGTATGCTTTACCTTCACGCGTTAAAGAAATGTTCCATAAAGTAAACAAATAAATATTAGACTTCTTTTTTGGTAAATTTGATACCCTTTAGATCATAATTGCTTTATTTATAAATTACGTTTCATATTTTTAATTTTATAATTTTTGCATGCCATCTTACCGATTTAAACTGATGATCTATAATCCGGAATCGCCGAAGTCCCGACGAGTCCGGATTAAAAGACTTTTGACTGTACATACATAAATACCCCTTCGAATTCACTTTATTACGCCCATGGATCCAAAATTCACGAACACTGTTTCACACAACACAGAATAAAGCCAAATACAAATTTTCAGATTTTTTTTTTCCCGATTTCCTCCTTTTCCGATTAAGAACCGAATTCGTCCATTAATATCTCATGACATATCCCATGATCTCTCGTTTACCTCACACAAAATAATGCGTAATCGGAACTGAGTACTGCTCACATTATACCAAGTCCCAGGTAGTAACCTTTATCGCCTCCAAAATGTCGCCAAACTACCAGTTACCATATTGTAAAGATCAACTGCTCTTTATTTCATATATTACAGTTTAATATTTTTAATTTTATAATTTCTGCATGCCATTTTACCAGATTTAAACTGATGATTTATAATCCGGATAAAACGATAATCCGGCATCGCCGAAGTCCCGATGAGTCCGGATTAAAGACTTTTGACTTTAATAATGAACATATATACATTTTGATATAAGCATTTTGGTACTGTCAACTTAGACGAGAAAACTTATGTACTTACATAATCTACTCAAAACATCTTTATGAAATTTTTGCTCACAACATTCAAAATGACACTGCTTATTCTCAGCATTCAAAACAAGACGGGAAGAGAAAATTCCAGAAAAACCACATTTTAAATCACTACCTTAGTGTCAAATCTCGCATTACGAGCCAAATTAGCTATCACAAAACACTGTTTTATTTGTAAACTGTTATTTCAGTTTGTTAACTTTTTGAAAACCATAATGCCCCAGATGTCCTTTCATTCAAATGACCACAACCAGCCGAAATTCCAATTTTGTTTTCTTTCATCCCCTAAGGTAGCTAAGTAGCAGGTGAAGTTTCCTCAAAGGGATTGTTTCAGTTTATTGCGGACAGCTTGCCTTAAAAGGATTTATTTGTGGTTTCTTATCATTATTTGTTAGAAGTAGAAAGGATGTCATTTGAAATCTTCACTCTTCTTTGCTCGTTAATGGATAGGAAAAAGAAGATGTCGCATTGACCTCGAAGATCATTTCGGGCGGTTTGGTGTGCTTTAATATAAAGGTTAGCAAAGTCTAGTTTTCAAAGATTTAATAAGTACTGCAATTTTTCTTACAAAATAACTGGAAATACTAAATATTAAAGCAACTATGCAGCAAAAAAGCTATTTCTGAAATATTAAAAGAATTTAATAATAATCAAAAGTGGATAATTTGGTATTTTCTGTTAATGTGATGTCAATCCGTGCCATACAAAAATGGTGTAAAACATATCTACATGACAACAACCCTAATAATATGTAATGCTCCATAAAAAAATTAACAATAATGTATCATATGATATATGTAATGTTTAATGTCAGCACTGCAAAAGTCATACACAGTGCAAGTATTCTTCCCATGTACATAACAATTTTTCACTTAAAAAAATCACCAGAAAATAGCACAAATTCGGCATTGTGCACAGTCTTGATGCTTTGCACATTAAACATTGTATCTGCTATTCAGGATGTTACAATAACAGGTTACCACATTTGGAAACTGATGGCCAGTTAACAGAAAAGGCCAAGAAATCTATGAATGATGCTTTTGAATTTTAATGTCTGGAGATGTATGTTGTAGTTAGAATGGATATAAATAATAGATAGTCAACAAAAAGGATTTTTAATCACAATTTTTGACTTCAACAAATATATTTTCACCTAATTAAGATGCTTCAGTAAAACCATCGAAACTAGTCCTATGAAAAAAATTTGAAAATATAATGCTGATTTTTGTTGTTTGTAAATTAATATTTGTTCGACGTGTTAGTAATTTTCACCTGTTAGTAATTTGACAAAAATTACCACTGTACGATAGACATAACTTCACTTTTTTACCTCTATATTATTAAGTATGCTAAATTCAGTCACTTTCTCTTTTTATAACAGTAAATATCAAAGTTCTGAAAGAATAAATGAAATCTTTACATAAATTTATTATGTATATGTAATTATAATGTCAGAGGCGTAGCTAGAGTTTCCAGCACCCGGGGACAACTGAAGAGAATTTGCAACCCTTTCTGTGTGCCAAGAATGGAAAACATTTCATTAAAAAATTTCGTAGCCTCAATTTGACGCTCCTTGGATGCTGCGCCCGGGGACAGATGTCCCCCCTTGCCTCAACATAGCTACGCCACTGTATACTGTTGAAATTTAAAACAAAATATGCATAAATTTTCATATATTCTCTTAATGCATGTTACACCAATTCTATCTGCTGATTATCAGTATCTTTAACCCTATATAAGTCTGAATTTTTCTTTAAAAAAGTAAAGGCATGTCAAACAGTGTACCAGGATTAGAAATCACTTGTGATAGTTTGAAAGAGAATGCACTTTGCTCTTCCTAGTAAGATATACAATTTCCTAAGATTTAATAGACGTACCACTTACGATCAATGTTAAAAAGTTAAATATAAAAATATATTTCCCATAATGTATCGGCATTTGCAATATGGAGCCGCAATATGTAATTGTATTAATAAATAAAATTTATGAATTTAAATATCTGGCTTCTTTTAATGTCACTTAAGTGTTTCTTCCGATAACAAACCTTTTTGATTTTTAATAATTTATACATACACGTTTACGTTATCATAATAAAACAAATGATTAATAATATACAAAATATGCAATTTCCACTACTAATTGTAAATAAAAGGTGGTAATCTCTATTTAAATATAAAGTAAAAAACTGTAATGTTTTCTGAGCACCGAAGATAAATCTTTCGCATATTAAGGAAATTTATAAGCATTACAATAAAATCCGATAAAATTCCAGTTTTACTCACATACTATCGGCATACAAAACGAAAGTAGTTACATAAAGCTTCGAAAACAAAAATGATATATTGATATTTTTTACGCAAGATACATGTAACGCTTGTTGACACCGTTAAAAGCAATACTTGATAATGGGCATGCCACGGTGTTTGCAAAACCGGTCCAAGTTAATTCATATAACAAAGAGAGGTAAAACATTTTGATTTACACAATAAATTCAACGAAGGATAAAAATTATAGTTTTAGCACAGTTCTATAACTGCGGTGGACAATTTCAAATAGTAATCAGTAAAGGAAAATAACACAGACAAAACAACTCCTAACAACCTAAACAGAGTAAAAAATAGATGAGTTTGTTGCCAGTTTTGATTTTTAATACATCTGTATTGAATTCGGAATTTTCGTTAAGTTTTCTTTAACCTTTCACAAATTATATTAATATTTGAGAGTATTTTCTACGCTTATAGCATTTAAACCACTTTATATATAAGATTATAGCTTCCTGTTAGACATCTTTCTCTTGTCAATATTTTCTCTATATTTTTGGTTTCAGTGAATGGCAGTTTTCATCAATTAGTGTTGACTTGAATCCTTGCTTGAATTAAGTTGGCCTTGCTTGAATTCATAATTTTGTAATGATGAATTGCTCTTTGAATAATGATGATGACATATGAAGCACTTGTACCATATATTAAAATGAAACCTTATGGGATTCAATCATCATTTGTCGATGATTATTCTTTGCATTCTAAGTGCATAGAAAAAATAGACCGTGTGTGTAATATACCGTATAAACAGTTTTTCTCTGATTATATGTTTTCCAATAAACCATGCATTATAACTTCAAAAATAACTGAGAATTGGAAAAGTCGAGTTAAATGGGTTTCTGGTAATGGAATGCCGAATTTCGAACATCTGGAGAAGGAATTTGGTGCGTATATCACTTGACATGTTTCAATAATAGCGCTGTTTACTTCTAACAACCATTGCTTATTAGGGTTTCGCTCACCTGGATAAGGAAATGAAAAATGGTGTGCAGAAATAAATGAAAGAAATTTTTTTAAGAATTCAGGAAAATTTTCTGGGACTTTTTCCAAGTAGTTGGGAAAGTTAAAAAAAAATAATAATGTGTGTTCAATCAAACGTTTCAAATAATAGGGATTTTTTTTAATACTGATCTATAAATTTTGCATGTCCTAAAAAGAATTGGTGTAATTTCACCGTCCATTGCTTAAGTATTTTAGTTCATTTGTGAAACAATTTTTTCAACCCATAGCTCCCTTCTCTACATGTCATTCTCCTCCTTTTTTTTTTCCTTCGTTAATTTTATAAAAGTGGTTAGTTTATTTAGGTTTTGTCCCTTATCAGAAGGCTGCTTCTTAGGAAAACTTGATAAAATCGTAGTATACGGTACGGCCTTGACACAAGTTCGAAAATTTTTGCCAACACTAAAATAACTCGTTTACTGCTTATCGTAATGTCATCAAATCCCATGTGCACTGTATACTAGGATAAAACTGGAGGACTTTTAAGAAAAACTGCTTAACATTCATATTATCCATGGAAAAAACTCTCATGAAGCCTGTTCAATCAGATCTAATTATGAATTTTCAGCAGTCTTACTGTTAAGGCCGTTCAAACACGAGTAATGCTGTTTTGAAGCAACTGCTTTCAATATTTGTGCATTATAATAAATAAGAATATTAATTATCTTTTTCAATCCAGGGTTTGAAAGTTGGCTAAGAGTGTGCCTATTATTCTTGCAGGATTCTGAGCCAAACTTATGTCTTCATTTCTTAGAATAAAATATTTGTCAGTCTGTATGCACAATCCATCATATAACTACTGCTGCGGAAGTCTTTCATTCATTTCTTCGATTTTATTAAACCCTCCGATTTCACCAAAAGCCCTATTTAGATTGTTAGGAGCACAAAATTTCCTTAGTTAATTGTTCTGATCTATTACTGTTTTTTTCTGATCAGTTACTGTTACTGTATCTAGTTTCCACTTTCCCATTCAACAGATGTTAATTCTCTGCACCAGCTGTCAATGAATCAGAGTGGAGGTAAAAATATATTTACGGGTGCCCCTTGGCGATTTTTGGCGGTACATGGATACCGCGTTTGTGCAATTTTTTTACTTGTTATTTTGGCTTTGTGTAGTGGGCTGCTATACAAAGTCAGAAATAAAGAATTGCACAAACTCTGAAGTGCTTTTGGTTTTTTAACTGATTAACTGGCCATACGATTTTGCAGACGGTTAATGTTTAAATTTATATATTGTAAGATTTTGTTTTTATGGAAATAAGTATTTCATCAATATAAAGGGAAATGTTTTAGTGTGATGTATTATTTAGAAATATTCACTGAAAAACAATTTTGTTTTGTTAAACAAAAAAGAAACGAATTTTAACAGAAAAGTCCAAATTTTACCATTCACTTTGTCTCACGAAGAGTAAATAAGTTATAATCTGTCTAACACCATATCCCTGGTTTTGTTTTTAAAAATTGTCAACATGTTTTTCGCAGAATATATTATTTCCAAATGTTAAAAACAATTAATAAATATAATTTAATCCACTGACCGAACAAGAAACAGTTTGTTCTACTCTGCCAGCGTGCTGTGAAATCCTCTGCACGTAGAGTAGACGTTCGGTTTGTTGCCCCCAATGAGCGTCCTGATGGCTCATCGTGATGTCATCAGACTGATATGAGGCAGCGAAGCGGCGGGCGCCGTGTGGTGCTATGTTTGTTGAAAATGTAAGTTTAAGTAAGTAAGTAACAAAATATAAGTAAGGAAGCCCAAAGCGTTGCTTTTTCGCCACTGATATGACACCATACAACACAAGACATGATTTTTGCTTAAGTGCTAGTAGAATTCTCGTAAGTTAAGCTGTTTTTATAGTTATACCTCGACTACTCGTAAGTAAATACTTTATAACCCATTTTAGAATGGAGATCTCAGATGTCTCAATAATTAAACATTTATTGGATGAGATGTTACTACAAAAAACGAAGTAGTCAAATTAAGTAGACCAATGTCGGATATTATTCTATCACAAAACATTAAGGTTAAAGGACAACAGTGTGTACAGCATTTTAAAAAATCTATGTATGAAAAATTTAAATGGTTAACCGGTTGTAGTGAATTAAATAGGTTGATCTTTACATTATGGTAACTTGGCGATTTTTTGGCGAAAATTTGGCAACCAACTCTCCTACAGCAACCCTCTTTTTTTTCCCCGCCGCCATTTGTCTTCACGAAGTAAAGACTTTCTTTTCTTATCTACTGAACACTTCTTCCACATCTACTAGCCGAATTACACTTATGCTAGAAATTTTATCAAACAAACTGCTTAATCATGACAAATATTCACTGCAAAATTGGGAAAAAGTGCACAATACCATACACCTTACACCTTATTTTTACTTAAAAATACATCCCAGAATTGCACAAAAATGGCATTGCGCACACTCTTCACTATCCATGTACACTTTTTTTTCATAAATTAGAAAAATTTCAAAATACATGACAATTTCTGAATCTTTAAACCCGGGAAAAGAACATATATGAAATTATCTGATCGCGAAAAAGTATTTACCTTTACGGAACATTTCCACATATAAAATAAAAAAATAGCCAAAAACTTTTACCTCTAAATCATCTATTACATTATACACGTCACCAACAAATTCATACTGCAAGCATTACAAATACTTAGTCTTAGTATCAAATATTTAAATTATTTCCATGCACGTTTATTTCAACGTAAACGTATACCAAATACCTACAAACATAAAATCACAAATAACTAGCATTTAATTAAAATATCCAAACCATGTACACGTCGACTTATTTTTACTTAAAAAAACATCCCAGAATTGCACAAAAATGGCATTGCGCACACTCTCTCACTATATCCATGTACACTGCTTTTTTCTCATAAATTAGAAAAAATTTCACGAAAATACATGACAATTTTTTCAATCTTTAAACCCGGTAAAAAGAACATATAGGAAATTACCTGAGCGTGAAAAAGTATTTACCCTTTACAAATATGAACATTCCACTATAAAATAAATAAATATCCAAAAACTTTACCCTCTAAACCATCTATTAATTTATACACGTCACCAACGAATTCATACCGCAAGTATTACAAATACTTAGTATCAATATTTAAATTATTTCCAG